GAGTGTGTGCAGTCAGACAACTAGCCAGTTTGGTGGCCCTGATAATCACTTGACATGCGCTCCATTTTTAAATCTATTCAGAATCTACTATTAATGTAGAGAGAAAACTTTGTAAATTTTTAATACAGAGAGTAGAAGTTCTAGACTGAAGTAGCATTTTTTTATCATATATATAATTTAAACACCAAAATATCCTCAAAGGTTCTGCTGGTATTTAAATATGCAGAAGGAAAAATACATATACGAGATGTTGACTATAATTCTTTTGGACTTTCAGAAAATGTAAAACTTCTGTAAGAAATGAATCTCTATCTTCTCTTCTTCAGGACAAATATCAATGTTATATGTCGACATGTGGAAAAAGAAAACTCTTTACATGATAATATCTAAAAAGAGAAATAGTGTGAAAGAAGTCATCATTCATAGTATACAGTATCACACAATTTTTTTATATGCTTACTCTCCTTGGTCTGTAATGTACTCCTTAGAAGTAGCTACTATATGAGCAAAGCCTATGGTATAGTTGCTTCTATAAAATATTAAGTACTTTGTTAATGTATCTCTAAATGGAATAGTACATTATACAGAAATGGATACATTCCTAAAGATACCCAACTCTCTTTGTGGAACAGCATATATATGTACATACAAAAATATATAAACTGTTGTGTTTTGGGTTTGTTTTTTTTTTTTTTCTGTCCAAAAGTATAGCTGTTTCTCTACTCAAGGATTGCTCTTGTGTATGTCTGTTGCTCATGTGCTGCTCAGAAATTGCCCTACATGTATGTGTTTTCATAGACATAAAATCTCTTGTTCTAATAATCCATATCCACATGTGAAGAAGGAAAATGCTATATTAAAATGTATTTAAATTAAATGATAAATTAGAATTGTATTTAATTTTTAATTACACACTATATGTAGTAATTAAAAACATAGAAGTGTATATATCTGTGTGTGTATATATATGCATTTCTTCAACAACTGCACACTAAGCTGGCATGTATAATGCTTTGGGTTTGTCAGTGTTATACATGGTAATAAAGCCATGCCGTTTTTACAGATTTCTACTTCTGCTGGTAATGTATGTGTGCACAGAAAGTAAATCCTGCAAGAGTTCAATTTAAAATTCTAAGTGGTAGGAAAGAAATATGAAAGAAAGGAAATGCACTCCTTGTAAACTGGCAGAAGGGTGAATCAACTGCAGACCAAAGGAAGGTCTAAATTTCTCAAGAGATCACAGTCAGCCATAGCCTTTTTCTCTCCAGAACCTTTAGTATGAAAAGGTGTTGCTGTCTTTAATTACTAAAAAGAACAGAACAACTTATATTTAAAAGAATTCTGACCACCAAATATTTGAGGATATTTTATGTAATTCATTCCTAAAAAGTAATGTGGAATTAGTATCCTCTATATATTTTTATGTTTATCTGTATTAATGACAGGTGATAACCTTCTCAGTACAGTCTGGATATAGATCGTAAGCTTGAAAACAAAAAGTTCATCTTGGAACAATTTTTCTTTTTCAGACATGAAATGGGTGAATTAGAGAAATGGTTTTATCAGTGCATAGACATGCTGTAGCGCACTAAAAGGAATGTTTATCAGTACAGAAACATGGCGAATATTTATGGCAGAGCTTCTATGTGTTCAGAGAATGTATTTTAAGCTTTAATGAAGTGATATAACTATGCAGGAAACCCATTAATTTTAATTAATTTATTTATTTCCATGAACATAGAGTACGTGATACTTGAAGATTTCACTTTCCTTCCTTGGGATTCAAATTTTTTTTCCCTCAATTCCCCAAAGTGTTTCTTAGATTATTCATCTAGACATTTTTTTCATATGGTAATATTTAAAGATCTAAATATATTATCAATAAGGTTTAATAGTTTGAACTATATATATATTTTGCAGAAAAGCTAGTTGCAGAAGTACTCAGTCCACAGGTGTCAGATTATGTGGCCTCCCACACAGTCACTATTTTTAGGAGGAACATGGCTGTCTGCCAGCTCTCACAGAGATGTGTAGGAGACAATAGTGGGGATAAATTCACAGTATCATAAAAACCTCAGAAAGTGTGTGAAATCGTTTGGGTTCAGGTTTCCTCAGAAGTTTTTTTACAGTGCTTCTATGCGTATGAAGTTCAGACAAACCAATGTTTTGCCTCAAAATCAGCATTAGATACCAAATTTGTCACTGTTTTCAATAAAACACATTTTGTGGGAGATAATTGGACTTCAACAAAAATTACACTATCTTTAGGAAACTATTGGTCACTAGCAATTTCAGTGTAGTCAGACTACAATACATGGTGTCTTTGAATTTTGCACGAGCAGATATGATTTTCTGTATACTCACTAGCATGAAGTTTGTGGTAAGGTGTTTTTGATAAATGATATGTGTCTACTGTTTGCTTTTTTTTTCTTTCTTTTTTATCAACAGCATAATGTTGATAATGTGATTGAAGCAGCTAAAGCAATCTGCAGTGTCCTCTGTCTTGTGGAAACGAGAGACATTACTGATGCAGTCAGGAAACTCCGTGCAGTGCCATTGGTGAAAGCACAGGTAAAAGATACAAGCTGATGTCCTATTTTTTTCTTTAAAACTGGAGCCTGAATGGGTATCACTAATTTTCTGGTTGATCAAGGCTATTCTACTGTCTTACTACTTATTTTCCCTCTGACGAGCATTAGGTAGAGGGACTAAAAAAAAAAAGATTGTTGACAGCGTGTGACAGAGGAACAACAGAGGACTTCTCTTGTGTTTAACTGTAACTGATATGCTCCTCTGGTTCTTCTTATTCCCACCAAACATGCAAATCTCTGCTTTGCCATATCACATATTTACCAAATCATGTGATTACAAAGTATTAAGATTTTCACATATTAAGAATAAGTTGCTAACAATTAAAAAACAAATCCTTCTGTAAATGTCACTTAAATTATGTGTTTTTCAGATAGAAATATCTCTGCTATTTATGCAGAGAAGGACCACCATCATGTAATCATCCTGGTTTTAGCTGGAATATTCACTCTTAAAACACTGAAGTGGGTTTTCCAGGGATTACTGTATAATTGTGAACTGGATATTTGGAGGGTAGTATCTGTTCTGTTTTGTCATCAGCCGCTTTGGTATGACCATGGACAAGTCACTGTGACCTGATTTACAGAAGTTCTGAGCACCCAAGAATTCTTTTGAAGTCAGCATCTTGGAAATACAGGTGCTCAGCAAATCTGAAAATCAACCCATTAATCACTTGGATTTAGTCTGGTGTAACCTTAAGACATGCTAACTCTTTCCCACCCTAACGAATTTTCCCTCTTCACACTTCATTGAAAAGTTTAGTAAGTCATGAAGGAATTTTTTTGTTTCCTTGTATGGTCTCTGTCTTGTCATTCTTTCTCACAGCAAATATTGTTTAGAAAAACATGCCAAACTGGGCACAGTGCTTGCATTCTCAGACCGCTACCTGCTTACAAAACTTTTATTCTTTCTCTTTATTGTTTGTTTGGTTGGGTTTTTTGTTTGCTTGGTTGGTTTTTTAGCCCATGGCTTGTGATACGTGTAAGAACACCTAGGACAGGAAAGTAAGCAATGGAATAACTAGCTACGTAAGTGGAATTTATTTAATTATGCCTGATACGCAGTTCGATGTCCCAAACATAAGATGGGGGAAAGCTAGCGTAATTCTCTTTATAAAATGCCTTGTGTCATAGGAGTGATATACAGCAAATCAATTATATACTGTCATCCATATACACTTACTTTTGACAGGTTCAAACACTCACATACTCCTAATTTTACAGGGGACGTGAAAAGACTCACCAAAGAGCATAAAGTATGTTAGTTGATGGGGCTCCAGTAATGCTCAGAAAACCTCTTTTCTTGAATCTTTTAATTCTTAGCCTCTGTTTATTCCTTTTGGATAGGAGCAGAGAGGGAATAGCTTCCAACTAAGGTAAAGTACAGGACCCAAGCAAATAAACTCTAGAATATCAATGTAGCTCTCTGCAGATCTGGGTTATAAGTAAATCCCTGCACCATGTTTCTGGAACAGAGGACACTAGAGATCACCAAGCAGTCATTGCTGCATGGCCCTGGGCAGAACCAGCTGTGGCCTTCTGGAATTAGTTATATGGGTGCTGTCTCTCTGAAGGTTGGCAAGTATTGTTAAGGACCGAGCTGCAAGAGGCAACATAGCTCTAGGGTGTTTTTGTCATTGCTCAGAGCTGAACAGCTGATTCACTTAAGCGCCTTCTCTTGCTTCTCTTCTAGGTCATGACTCACTGTAAATCTTGTTTCTATAGCATCCTAAATCTTTTCATGTCCACTTCAGCATCAATTATTAGAAGTCACTACTCTGGGTAAATTCCAGCATAAATGGGTCTGTGACAGCACACGTTTTATCTGTCATGTGGTTGATTTAAATGGAAATAAGAATATATCCATTTAAGAAAAGCTCTTCCTGTATATTGGAGGGCAAATACAGTAGAGAAAGAGATAAAAGAAGTAACAAGAGATCCACATGATCTGCTTTTCAGTTAAACCCCAGGCTGTCCTGAGAGGCGTCATGAAGATCAATATCTTCCTCTTGAGAAAAGTATTTTGTCAACCCTGAATCTTTCTTAAGAGATAGATAAAGAGCTTGGTCCAGTAAAAAGATAGGACAGTAGCGGAGCATGTTCTCCTTTAGGAAGGAATTAGAGCAGAAGAAATGTATTGGGACTAATTTGGTAAAAGATTTCTTTTGGAGTTAAGAGAAATTTAGTGTATTTTCTCTCTGAGTGTTGAGGTCAGCTATGTGAACCCAATGTGTAAACTGCCTCCTATGACTGCCTATATTTACTGAGTATCCCTGAGTCCATTTTCAGCCCCATCCTCTCTGAATTCCAGCAGAAAGGTAGATATAGTGGTCAAAGAGCCAAATCAGTTCCTATTAGTGTGGCCTGTCCTGAGCAACTGGAAAACCCCATGTGTCATGCCATGAAGAATAAGATAATGGGATAAAAACGAAAGAGTACAGGTCATCTTTTGAATTATGAGCCAATCTATCCTGTTGTAAAAACAAACAAGCAAACAAAAAGAGTCAAAATAAACAGACAAAAAACCCTGCTCCAAGTGTTCCCAGCTTGTCATCACTCATTCTGCAGCATGTCTCCCATCTCCAACTCTACTGTATAGACAGTGTCCAATATATACAGGTTCTGATGAACCAGCTTCCATGTACTTCCTTGCGCAGAGGGAGTAATACACTTCCCTTTTTCTGTTTTACCTATTTAAATTATATGCTCTTCAGATCAAGGAATGCCTCTCCTTGTCTATATGTACAGTCTCCAGCACAGTAGAGTGCTGGTCCTGGCTGTAATTTCCAGAGGCTAAAAATGATAAGTGGTGGTGGTGGTGATGATAATGATGGTGTTTGCTCATCTGTAATGAGTGAAATGATACTGTTCCTGAATACCCTCTTCTGAATGTTAAAAAGATTCTGTCCTGATTGAATATTTTATTACTGGTCTTAAAGTATTTTTCTGTTCTAATATTCACATAAGAAGCTGCTTGTCTCCACGTTTCTCTTGGAGAATACTGACTAGATCATTACTCGTTTTTTAAAGTTTTTAAGTTATTGAGGTTTTGTTCCCTTAACATTCCCTTTCAGGCTTAGTTAGCTGAACTAGTTGTCTGTCCCCTTGAAGCCTTCTTGTAAAGGCTGTCTATGACCCTGACTGACACCCCTTTCCCCCTTACTCCCTCCTTGGTGAGGCAGACCTGACTAACAACTGACTTCAAACAAATGGAGGGGAAAAAAAAAACAAGTTAAAAAAAAAAAAAGTCAAACTGTTCTTCACCAGCAAACTCTGCTGCTGCTTGCTTTTTACTCCTTTGAGAAATAAGTGCTAGGACAGTCGACTAGACTTTGGCAATCTAGAAAAAGTTCAGTTCTGATTTTATGAAGAGCTTCATCTTTCTCAGCAGCAACTGAACTGTAAATGTCATAAAAGCAGTAAAATATATTTCTGCATGTTGTGTATCTTGAACACTGGTCCATTGTATGAAAATAGTTTACACATTATATGCAACTACCTCATGTATAGAATAGTATATAAATATAACAAATCAGATTTTATCTATATTTATCAATATTTATACAAAGACAATGGACCATCTCTCCTGTCTGTATCAACATTTGTAGCCAAAATTAGTACTCAGCAGTTGGACGTTTGATGGAGTACCAACTCCAAATCTTTTTTGCATTAAATTCATCCTGAAGTGTAGGGGCATTTTATGTGAATTCTGGGTATTGACAAAATTATAAAATACTGCAATATTAGTGTATCTTATCAGTCTGCTTGAATTGTTTCTATTATGTTCATCAGCATAGTGCCTCCAAGACTTTTTGTTAGGTGGAAGAGAAGCTTTTTTCAGACAAACACCACAAGTAAAGTGAAATTGTTGGGGCTACCTATTACATCTCAAGTGCTGCAGCATTACACGTTGGGTAAGGGAGAAATGCCAGAAAAAAAAATTCTAATTGCTTTTTCACCATGGTTTCCTGATACTTTAGTGTAATGTATGGTGTGGTTTTGTGTGCAATACCTTTTAACGGATCCATTTGGCAAGCTCCATGTGCACATTAATGCCTCAGGGAAACTGCTGCTTTCTACTTCCAATTTAAATTACATAGGGTGCCAGTGTATGTTTGTGCAGACATATCTGTACATGTGTGCTTGCATACTTTGAAAAAAAAAAACAAACAACAAAACAACCAAAAAACCTCAACATACTTCTATTTAATTCTGGTTTTATGAAAAAAAAAAAAAAAAAAAAACAAAACAAAAACAAAGAAACTTACTTCCAATCTTCTGTGTTTAATTAAACTGAACTTATTACCTCTTTACTGCCTCCTCAATGCCAGTACTGTGCATTCCTGTGCCATGGTTAAGAGATTATGAAAGCAACTGGCACCAGTGATAGTTTCTTCTTAACTGATTGCATCTCTTTATAAATGTGATTCATTCAGTCTCTAACCAACCTAACCCTGGGATTTTAAAATCCATTCAGGGGAAACTCTAGGCCTACTGCACAATTAATGTTTTTCATGTCTTTTTTTTGTTGTTGTTGGTTTTTTTCTCCCCCCCTCTCCCTTCCTTTCTTGCAGCAGCTCACAAAAAGTCCTAGGAGATCAAATCCTGCCAGAACAGGCACTAATCCACTATATATTAAATGGGCTACACTATGTTGAAATTATAAGCGCTGTTCCAAAAGGTTGTTTACTTTCCAAAATTTGAGAGAATTGAGCAAAGGCTTCTGTTCCCATTTGTCTCGCTGCATTATAAAGATTGTGAAAACGTATTTCTCAGCCTGGAGGTTGCTTTTCTCCCCTCAAGTAAGCGTTTGACTTCTCTTCATGTTTACCAGACAAATGCTGGCAGCTCCAAGCTGGATACCATAGGGCGAATGTACATCCAGCATTGTACTTCTTATGTCACCTCTGCATGCATTGTAATTTTTAAGCAGCATCTTGCTGATTATGTATGTAGGGCAGGTTTAGGTTAGACACTAGGAAAAAATTTTTTCAATGAAAGGGTTGTCAAGCATTGGGGCGGGCTGCCCAGGGAAGTGCTCAAGTCCCCATTCCTGGAAGTATTTAAAATATGGGTAGACGAGGTGCTTAGGGACACGGTTTAGTGGTGGGATGGCAGGGTTAGGTTAATGGTTGGACTTGATGATCTAAAGGTCTTTTCCAACCTAAACGATTCTGTGATTCTATACTAACACAAAGCATTCTCAACTCCGCTGCAAAGGGATTAATGACTGTAAAGGATAGTAAACCTTTCAGGGACATGAGTTCAAACAGTGCAAGCAATGCATAATTCTGAAACACAGAATTAACTTGCTAGTCTCTTTGGTCAAGATTGGCACCTCAGTACGTTATTTCTGTGTCACCTTAGTACATGTGTGTCTGATGTCAGAGCCAGGCAAAGACGGGGCAGACTGAGCCGGCAAGGGAAGCCCGTAGCCCGCAGTTGCCTTTGAGCCAAGGCCGGGTCCCACCTGTGGCCCTGGGGCTGCAGGTGCCGCCTGTCCTGCCAGGAGATGCGCTGAGCTACCTGCCGTGATGGTGGTTTTCCCTGTGCAGGTGGGAGGCACGGGCAGTGTAGCAATATTTAATTTTGCCCAGGATCTGAGAAGGCTGGAGCAAGGTCTGATTGATGGCAGTTATTGTACTTGGGGATTTGATAGAGCAGCTTTAAAAAAAAAAAAAAAAAAAAAAAAGTCATCTAATTAGACTGGTCTATTCAGTCTAAATAACTGGCCTGACCTTTCAGTGGTCATAAGCACCCAGCAGTTCCTGCTG